CTTGGCAGCCGGCCCAGCTGGGCCGTACCCTCCCCGCAGAGGCCCAGCGATCCTTCCCGGTAGCTGCGGTGGGGCGGCCTCCCGCTGCCTCCGCTCCTGAGGGAGCCGGGGAAATCCCGGGGCTCTCTTGTCCATCCCCCCTGACTCCCCGGTGTTGTGCAGGGGTGAAGCCTTAACTTTTCTCCCTGCGGTTGTCAAGTTTGGGGTGTTTCCTTGATGTGCTCCGTTGATGAAATTGGGCTGGAGAGAAACGTCTCTTTTCCACACGGGTCACACTTCTCTTTGGTTTCCTCGTTTTCTAGGACAAGCGGCGAGGAGACATCTCTAAAGGTATTTAGGCATTTAATTCCCGTTGGCGTTGATTTCATTAGGATGGGGCACCTAAAAGGTGTTTCGGTTTTATTTTTTGAGGGTGGGGGTATTCCTTTCAGTTTTATTTTCCTGGTTTTAGGACCCTGTGCCCCTGCTTACCAGACACCCCTACTCCTCCCTCTCTCCTGGTTGGTGTTTTGATTTTTTTTTTTAAACAGCTGTTGCCTTTTCTCGGAGGAAGAAGTTTTTCTTCTGTTTATTCTTCTTTCTCTGGGGTAGTGGGAGGAAAAACAGTTACTAAATGTTTTGGTTGAGCAACTGGGATTTATATTTGCCCTGAATCTTTTGGGTTTTTTTAATCTGTATCTTGAAACTAGCACACATGCTTATCAATTTAAGAGAACTTTACCTTCTTGTAGATTGTACCAGTTTCAAACTGTTTGGTGCTATTGTGAAATACATGTTTTCCTTTTTTTCAAACCTCATTTCCTACTTATCTGTTAAGGTCTTCTCAACAGCCAAGTGATGTGTCAGTTGATTTATTTCTCCTTTTTGCCCCTTCACTGGTATTTTGATGTTGGCCTCGTGTTTGGTATAAATCTGTCAGCATTTTCACAGCCTTGGGAAAGCAATAGGGCTGTCTTGTACAGATATAGTGACTAGATTGGCAGGCCAGAGGCTTTATCTCCTGTTTTTTCTGGGGCAAGAACAAAGGAAATGAACAAGCGAAGTAGCTGCTGTTGCAATGGACCTGTTAAACTTCACTCCAGGGCTTGCTTACAAGAAGGAAAGAAACACTGAGACACACAGCTGAAGCTGAGATAAATCTTTTATCGAGTTTTGCCATTTTATAGTTAATCTCAGTGGTTTACTGGACTGTTATAATTTGCCTTACGAATATCTCTGCTGATTTTCCATTTTATGCTCTGGGAGCTGTTGTTACCTGAGCATCCGCTTTGTTTCTTGGTAACTGCTGCATCATACCTGTCTGGTCTTCTACGCAAACCAGTTCATGTCAAGGTGCTAGCTTCTTACTAGTTTTTTTTCCCTTTATTTTGTTTAATTAACTTACATGACTAAAGGATAAACAGTTCTACCATTTTAGTGGCGGCAGGGCCTAATGAATATGGATCTTGCTAGCATTATCTTGGTTTTGGCCAAACTGTTATGAAGAATGAGTTCCCTTCAACTAGAAGTGGTGTTAAAATGTATTAAGCGATGACGATGTTTTGGTTTTATGACTTTGGCATCCTGTCCACCTTTTTATTGTAATTTATTTCAGTGCAGTTATCTTCTATAGTGGAGGACTGACACAGCAATCAATCTCTTCACTTAACAAATCATGTGTAACTTTCTCCACTGTTACTTTACGCTGTGAAGTTCTAGTGTTGTGCAGCTGCAGACATATTTAAACTGCAAATAGTGTGATTCTGTTTACTTTCTTGTGTCCTGGTAGCTGACTCACTGCTCGTTTCCTAGTGTTAGAGAATTGTTCCAGTAACCCCTCCCTTCCCTTTTCTCTTTTTTTTTTTTTTTTTTTTTGGCCAGCCAAAAGGTAGCTCTGAATATTGTCACATGAAGCGTGGACAGGTTGTCTGGCCAGGGATCTGGCAGGGGTATTTTCACAGTAATTCTTTTGAAGGAGTGATGTCAAGCAGCATTATACTGTGGTAGATGGTGCAGTGAAATTGGATGGTAAACAGTGATGAAAGTCTGACCTTTCTCCAGAAAAACTGAACTTCCTCTTGGCCTAGCATACTAGAACTCTCAGTATTCACATGTGAAAGAAACTCTTATTCTTCAACGACTCTAGCCATCCTCAGCTTTAATTGCAGTCGTGTTAACATAATCTTCTTTGATTGCTAAGAACATGATAACTGTTGAATAAGGAACTAACTGTCACAACTACTTGTACTTCCCTCTTGTCCCCAGTGCTTTAGTTTTGGTCACTGACTTTGTTCTAATGTTTGTGTTCCAGACTGAAGACAGCAGTAATGCTAACTCTGGCAAGCAAGTTGAAGCGGGATGATGGTGTCAGAGGACCCCGTGCATCCAATCCAGCTTCTGATTCAACTCGGAGGGTGTCTGTTCGAGATAAACTACTCGTTAAAGGTGAAAAGAACTTACATCTAAATATTTTGGGGTGGACAGTTTGTAGGTGTTATCAGTAAACAATACTAAATTGCAGATAAAATTATTTCCAGAAGTATTTTTGAAGTTGCTTGTGACTTAGCATTTCTCTTTCTTGCTCTTCATTTTTTCTGTAGCATAGATAATCTTATATTTAAAAATCCATAGGTGCTGATTCTTTGTGGTTACTATGGGTTTAAACTCAGGTTTATTCTCTCTGGTGGTAGTTGTGTGTTTTAATGCTCGAGCGGTGCAGCTTGATCTAGTGGTGACGAATAAGTTTAGGTTGATGTTTCTGGTAAAAATGATCAATAGCGAATGTACTGCTGTTGATGTGTAAGCTGTCACTATTAGGATTCATGCCAGCCAAAGGAAACTCACATTTCCTGGTCTTATTTCAGAGTGACTTGAGGCTGACGCTGGTGTGTTTGCCTGAATGGTATTGCCTAACCCTGGCATTGTATGTGTCATCTTCAAATTAGGGTAGATTCTGTCCTGGAGCCAGGTTTCAGAGCAAATGCTGCTGCCTCAGTGTGCTGGGAAGCACATGAACTAGACTGCAGGAATGTTATGTTCACAGTTTTCTCTCTCTGCATTGTTCTAAGGACAGGGAGTTTTAATACACTTTAAACCCTGATGTGATAACCCTCGCAAAGAGCTTGCTTTAGACTTCCAGTTTGGAAATCCTCAGTTAACTCCAGTTCTGAGGGGCGAAGATAGCAGGCAGGAGGAATAAGCTCTTTAACCAGGCTAAGCTGCAAAGCCAAATTACTGAATATATATATGATCTGAGCTTTTTGCTAACCTACAGGTGTAGACTTGAGGGGGAAATAGCTGTGAAATATAAATACACTTTGAGAAAAGAATGTAAGCTATAACTGCTATGGCTATCATTAGCAAACCAGTGCAGATGGAGTATCGAATGAGTTGAGCCCAAAACTGACAAATGTTAAAAGCAGGTCACTGCTGGCATCCTTCTGGCAAGCGTAAGTGCTAGATCATCATCTGATTGTGCGTGAAAGCTGCGTCACGTGGCTCTCCCAAAAGAGTTGTAGGAGCGGCTGTCCGTCTGGTTAGAATGGTTTCTGGACCAGAATGGGAACTGAGAGTAGAAGTTGGTTGCTCCAGTATAGCTACACTGAAAGTGAGAGGAAAATCTGGTGCCTAGTGTGCAAAAGACTGGTTGCAGATATTCTCTCTTAAGCTACTCTTTAAGCTAAGTGTGTACCATTCAATTACTAAAGTTTCTAGAACTTGCTCCAGCTCTTTCAGGTAGATCGGCTGCAGCAGCATTTCCAGCATTGACACCCTGAGTGAAGACAGACTTCTGAGGTTGAAAGTGTTTTTAAGTCATGTATAGATGTGCAGGAATGAGTGTGATGGGGAGGGAAGAGCTGCTTGCTAGAGGTGTGCCTGCAGCAGTGATGCTATTGCATCCGGACCAGCGCCGGTGCCTTTTGCCGCTTGATTGTATGGAACTGGTGTAATAGCCTGGTGTAGGCACAAATTCACACCATGGTATTAGATGTGTAATGAAGTTGGTGGGAGCCTGCAAGAGTAGTTGTGAGTAGAGGTTGCTCCTGATGTTTGTTCAGGCTGGAGTTAGATGACAGTTGCAGGATGGGCGAATGGCTCAATCGGGTTGATCTCCTGGCAGCTGTGAGTTAAAAAATAATCTGCTCTACAAAAGAGAAAAGAATGTCAGAAAGGGAGAAGGAGAAGATGAGAAAAGGCCTGGCGTGCTCTGTCCTTGTTTGCCACAGCAGCTGTGCTGAGGTTTGTGCTGGTTCACTTGTACCTCTTAATGGTGTTTGTCCTGGTGGTTTTATTCTGCTGTGCAGAGCCTCTGAGTTGAGAGAATGAGGGGCTGTGGTCATGTACATTAGGAAGCTCAGTGATAGCTATGCGCTTTCTGTAGCACACATGGATCCTTTTTGGCCTCAAATAAGTCTATAGCTTCTGAGTCGATAGGAGAGCAGCGGGCAACTGGTCCATGCAGCATCCTGCACAGCAGCTTATACACATGGTGGGCTGACTTAGAAGCTGAGCTGGGGGTGATTTTTGGCACAGTACCCTAAATCCTGCCTGGCCCTGGGAGCTGTCGATAGTGTAAGAGCCAAGGTCAGATAGCTGTTTGCCTGCTCGAGTGATCATGATGTGCTGATGATGCTCTCCTATTCCTGTTACACGGTAAAGTGGTGAGAGTCTAATAAAATCTGTGGACAGATGTCTGCTAGAGGTATCGTTCAGACACAGACAGTGTCTGTTTTTTATCTGGAGGTAAATTAAAGACAGCCTTGTTTGTGTTGATAGAGAATCCAGTCCAGGAAGGCATTACAGGATCTCTGAAGGATGTGTTGTCACACTGATAACCCTGCAGTCCTCAAATGTATTGTGTACACTGGGTGGTAAATAGATCAATGACACTTGAATTGTGGGGTAGATGGCCATGACCCCAGCCAGTGATAAGTGTAGATGATGCTCACAAATTTCTAAAAACTTGGCATAGACCAGCTACATACTTCTGCTAACTGATAGTGCCTTAAAGTAGGAAAAATAAGTGATAATGTAATTATGATGTTAGCTCTTTGCACCATGTGAATGAGAAGGAAATTCACAGTTGGCGTTTGAAACACTTCCAGTTTTACAAAAGCATGTGAGCTATCAGCAGAGCAATGTCAGCTGCTGTGCCTTGGCCTTGGTGGGTGCAAGTCCACAGGCATTTTCCCCACTTCTGTGAAAAAGCTACTCTTAAAATACTGGTGCCCTTCTTTCTAAGCTGTTCCTTTGATGGCTAACATACCTGGAACTGTTAGATATTCAAATATCAGTCATGGCTCAGGACACTGCCTTGCTAGGTTATTTTGTGGACATATTTTGAAAGGAAAAATATCTATCCCTAAAGTTTTATGTAGGGAAGTAATTCTGAGTGAGCAGGATGTTGTCTTCCAGCTGGTTTTCCCCTTGGGTGTTAGTCAGGGCTGCTAAACAGGATTTGGCATCCTGTTCCCTGCTGATTATCTCTGCTACAAATGGAGCACACTGGGGAGGTGAGCAGGGCACGTATGTCTGAGGTGAGGAGCATGGTGGTTCTGATCCCTGGGAAGTCTCCAGAAAGCATCCACCACTTTGAAATCACTCAGGGCAGAAGTGTCTGAGGGTGTGGGAGGGCAAGGACTAGTAATTCAGGCTGACAGCTCTTGAGAGAGGCTTTCTGGCCACGGAGTGGGTTGGAGAGAGGCCAAGCAGTGCCTGATGTGTTTCAAGGCAAATCAGATGGAGGAAATGTGAACAACTGGAGAAGGTAGAAAGCAAATACTGATGTAGGGAGGAGCTGGCCGAAATGGTGCTTGAAGGGGCTGTGCTGGTTCTCTGTCAGGGAGAGCGGCTTTAGTAACGTACAACTTCGTTAAAAGTTCAACATGATTTGTTCTCACATCTGTTTTCACTGGAGTTTCAGTATAGGTGCATTAGAGGGTAAGGCCCTAATTCTTTAGTCCTAGTGCTCAAGTTAAAATAGAGCGAGCAGCACACTTACTTAACAGCTGTCAATTTGTTCTGTGCTGCAGTGGCAATTTTTGATGTTGAATTCCTCTCTGAGGGGAAACTTCATTAAGTTAGGAGTAGGGGCTGCACGGCTGCTACTGCGTGGTGCTCTGAGCTGTACAGTGCCAAACTTGAAAGGCAGATCCTGCCTGAAAATTTGAAGTACTATTAAGTTTAATGTTGTATAATGAATGTGATTACTAAACTGAGTAAAAGAAGGTGCCAGGGTGCCAGTAGCAGCAGCAATGATCACAAAGGTGGTCCCTTGAACTGCTTTTTTTAGAGTGCACCTAAATATCAGTCAGTTTTATATTATCGGTGCTGATTAGTTGATTAAGTGACAGCTTGAAATAACTTAATAGCTAAGAAAATGAGTTAGCATGGCTTATTCCTCAGTTGAGGTCAGTGCTTGTGGTTTTTCCAGTCAGATTTCTGTGACTGGAAAATATTTCAGGTGTGCCTTTGTAGGACGAAGTGGGAAATGGATCATAAAAATAAGGTAAATGTATACTGTAAGTAAAAGTGGGGAGAATCCATGTATTTGGTTTCTTCAACCTTCAGGTACAGTAATATCCCTACTCAAAATAGCAGGTGAAGAGAACTGAGGGGGAAAAATACCTTATTTTTTTCAGAATTAATAAAAATTTCATTTATTAACACTCTCAGAATTATTTGAGGCATTGTTTTGAAATGCATTAACTTCTGCACGTTGTACAACTTAAAAGCATTTCCTTTGCAATGAGGCTTCTTAGCTTCCCCCCAGAATGACATCCTTTATTTTGGAAGAAGACAGTGGGAAGCCTGCTTGGTGAATGAGTGATTTGTATTTAGTAGAGAGAAAACTAGTAGCTTACACTGAAAACCCAAAAAGACACAACATGAATTGAAGGCAATTTGAAGAATTATTAACCGAAATAAAATATCAACAGAAATAAATTAAGTAAAACATTAAAACTGGGACTTTTCCTAGGATTGCACCGACAAAGGGAGGCCTGGTTCATGTATTGCTTTACTTGTGTCTCCGATGTTCAGCACACCTGAAGTATGAATTGACATACTGCAGTGCTGGAGATTTCCAACCGCAGTGGCTTTTTCTAGTTTTTGATGTCAGGATAATAAGTTTTGTAGTAGTGCGTAGAAGCTGAAGCGTATGATTGGATAGCATCTTGTTTCAAATAAACATTTGGAAGTGGAAGGAAAATAAACATCTCTTACTCTATCAAAAAACTGGCAGTGTTAGGCAGCTTGTTTCCTCTTCCTGGTATGTATGGTTGCACAGTTCAGAGGAGCTAAGTGGGGAAAGCTATAAAGATAGATGGATAGAATTAGAAGGCAAACAGCATTATACTGTTGGAATTAATACCTGGAAAATTGAGTTTTTGTTAGTATGTCAGGTATTTATCTTAATCTCTAGCAGTCTTAAAGATGCATGTTAAATGGGGGACCTAAAGAGGAGGAGAGGGAGGCTTTTTGGACAAAACCAGAGAGAAGTAAGTATTGCAGTGGATGAGAACGTTTGTTTCAGTTGAGGAAATAATGCTTTCATTTTGTGCACTTAAAGCAAACTGCAGCGGGAAGCCTATGGCCTGACTCGTCGTGGCAAGGCTAGTAAACAAAGCACTTCTATATTCTGAGTTGCTGAGTTGGGGTGAGGAAAGGGGAAGGAGCAGAACAACGTGGTTATAGTCTGCGCTACTGAATATAACATTCACGTGGGGGTCTCATAAACCATATGCCTGTAGACACGTCAGGAGTGTGTGTTCCTATTTCTGTCCTGAGAATTGTCATGGGTAGGGAGAGTTATTGTTTGTGAAATAATTTATAAATAGCTCTGGTTGCTCGTGGTAGGGTTAGTTTTCCCCTGTTCTATAAAGTTCCTAAGCTGCTTCTGAGACATAAGCAGTTTGCAATCAGCTCTTCCAAAGCCTGTGGTAGGTTTAAGTTTAACCCTTGCCTTTTTACTCTTTTTTTAATGGTTTAAAATAGCATTTGGAACTGTTCAAGCAAGTGCATCCTCTGCAAATACACCTGCCACTTGGGTGTGCTCCTGCAGCAGATCAAATAAGGTGTCAGGAACATGGACTGTCTGGTCGGAAGGCAGCCCGGGTCTGGGCTGACTGCACCTGGGTTTCTACCCCACAGAAGCTCTAGTGTGTGTCTGCACTTACGCTACAGCCTGTTGAACCTCCCCAGGAGGGCTTAATCAATGTGGGTGCAGGGCCTTGTGGTGCTCCTGGGTTAGCTGGTTCTTGACAATTAGCCCTCTTGACTGCAAGAAGAATTTGGATGCCCCACAGTGTTGCCATCCTCTAAGCCAGTGCGGAGCAGGCAGCCATGAGCATGGGTTTCCCGGGGGAGTTCTGGGGTTCTTTCACACAATATTTCCTGAGACTTGGGTTATCGGGTTGTTTGTCGCTGCATCTGAAGACCGGTGAGGTGCCTGGCTGTGAATTGAGACACAGATACTGATTATCCACAAAACATTATGAAAAGCAGTCAAATTGGATTTTCTTTGCCATTCAGCTGTAGTTACAGTCACTTTTTGAAAGAGGAGGTCAAAGACTGTGAGATTAAGTTTGTTCTTTAATATAGTGAGGCTTCTGGAGCTCTTGGAAGTTCAGTGCTTTGGAGCTCTAATTGTTGTTTCTACATTTTGTTTATTTAGAAACCTGTTAAACCATGCCAATAAGCTGTCAGGCTGCACAAGAGGCATTCTCTTATGGAGAATATTCCTGTCAGTGGTATTGCTTTATGTAGAAAATACATAATGTCCAACATCAGAATCTTAATGCAGCTTGAATGATGTGGTAAAAACCTGTGCTTTCCAAGGAGCAAAATACAAAAATGAACTCGGTGTCAAGACTGTCACTGTCAGAGTTAAAGAATTCAGCAAACTCTCAAACACTGTAGCTTTGGCTCATTAAATGTGCTATTAATCACCAGTGTTAATATTGGTTACTGTTAACATCTGATTCTGTACTTGATGTTACTTCAAATATATTACTGAAGCAGGCCTTTACCTGCTGTTTTTACCTCTATAAGATTGTTTCTTTCTTAGTTTCAGTGGTTTGTTGCAGAGTTGCTCGGAAACCTTGATTTTGGGGAACTTGCCTTTGTTCTGTGCGGAATAGTTACCATAGCCATCCCACGTGTTTGCACACCTTCAAAGAGTGAGCACACTGTGCCACACTCACAGGTGCAGGCACCTTCCTTTTCATCTTTCCACGAGAAAATCCGCTCGTTCTTCTGCCAAGACAAAGGGAAACACAGAAGCGTGAATGAATTACGGGAAACTTACCAAACTTCAGAGGAGTGATGGTGATGACCAAACTCCCTACTGAACCTTGCGGAGGCAGAAGTGAGGCCCTGGCTCAGCAGAGCTGCTGCAGCCCAGCTATTGCTTAAGTCTTCTCAGAACTGAAGCAAGGGCAGGCAGGATTCATTAAGCTCAACAACACACAAGCACGGAAAGCAATAAGGAAAGCAGTCAACACCTTAAAAATAAGAGCCAGGTCCTAAATCCTACCCTCTGGTGAAGGTTGATAAGTGCCTTTCACTGTGAAAGGCTTGTGAGTTCAAAGAGAAAGGGATGGGGGAATAATCTTATGATGGGTTTGTATGGATGCAGCTTGAGCCAGTTGGCTATGTCTTGTCCTTTTTTTCTTTTTTAAACCAGAAAGGGAAATTAAAAATCAAGTCCTTGATTATAGGTGAAATCACATTGTTATGTTGTGAAGACACTAAACTTTTAGCAAAAAGAATTACGATTTTATTTAGACGTGTCTTTTTATTTAAATTTAGATTGAAAGTGGGGAGATTTAGATTGGTCATAAGGAAGAAATTCATCCTGGAGAGGGTGGTGAGGCACTGGGACAGGTTGCCCAGAGAAGCTGTGGATGCCCCATCCCTGGAAATGTTCAAGGCCAGGCTGGATGAGGCTTGGAGCAACCTGGTCTAGTGGAAGGTGTCCCTGCCCATGGCAGTGGGGTTGGAACTGGATGGTCTTTAAGGTCCCTTCCAACCCAAACCAGTCGGTGATTCTGTGATTTTGAGAGTTGATGCTGAACCTCTTACACGTTGTTGTTAACCCAAATAAATGGGCTGTGTCTTTGCAGGCCAGAAAGTAAAGTTAGAAATGAAGTGGGGAAAAAACAGACTACAGAAAATGCAAAAAATATGGTTGATTAGGTTTCCTTGAAGATTGGAAATAAAAGGGGGAGGTATCTTGATGCATATCAGGCTTCTGTGAAATACAGACAGTTGAAAGTAAGAGTTCAGTAAAACATACACAAGAGAGAGAAAGCAGGGGGTCTTCCAGGGAAAGTAGCGAGGCAGAGAAAGGGCTTAGGAGTGAACTTCCTTTCCTAGGAGCTACACAGCTGAGTCTCTTTACTTTCTTTTTTAAGCTTTATGCATGGGGAATACAATAAATAAAAAGACACTTTAATTGAATGGGAGTGTATATATGGCAAACAATGCTTTGAGGGGAAATACCCAGCAGGCACGATGCTCCCAGGGGAAATATCCAACAGGCACTGGAGAAAAATAGCCTAACCCTGAGTTTGTTCAACAGTGGGGAGGTTTGCTGTGCCAGGTGCTTGAGGCTTGTCTTTCTCTGTGCTTTTGGTGCTCCTAATGCTGGCTTCTGTGGGCAGGACCACATCTACTGTGACAGTGCCCTTGAAGGAGGGTTTCAGTAGGTGCTTCCAAGTGTGCAGTGCATGGCGGGGCGCTGGGAGCCTTGCCCACAGAAGCAGTGTGTGACCGGAGGCAGGCTGGGGGCGATGGGGGGAGGGGGGGGG